GAGCGTGGGGTGAAGTACCTGGATGCCTATGACATCGTGCTGGAAAGCGATGAGACGCTGGATGTGGTCAACGGGATTCTCCGGTACATCCTTATCAAGACATGAGCTGGGAAGGCAGCGTCCCAGCTCTGGCCCCTCAGCAGGATGCCTGGGCAGTGAATGTCTTTCCCTCGACAAAGCTGGAGTGGATCTTCTCGTACCTGCTGGACTCCATCTCGACGCTGGGCAGCTCCCTGCCCTGGCTCTCGCGTGTTGTGCACATCCCGACCTCACTAACGCCCTTCAGTCAGCCCTGGAGCAGGAGGGGTGAGACAGAGGAAGCTTCTCCACTCCCTTTACCCCATCTGTGCCCAGCTCTGCTGCTTCCCTCTCGGACTTCATCCCACTTGGACTTCATCCCAGCCAGCGCCTGAGGCCACAACAAACCATTTCATGTTTCGGGTAGAGATGTTCTGCGTTTGCTTCAGTGGCCAAGCGCAGAAATGGAGATCGTTTGCTGTGGCTTGAGGACAGACCTGTTTTAGACGGAGGCTGTTTAGTTTTACAGGACACTGTCTAAGAAAACAAGTCTCTCTCTTGCCCTGTTTTCTGTGGGCTTCAAAGTGTGTGGGCTGAGCTCGGGTGGTGCCACCTGCGGATGAGCTGGTGTGGCCCTGCCAGGCGTGGCATCGCCCAGCCCCTTGTCCCCCACAGAAACCATGCAGCTCCCTGGCCCCCGCGCCCCAGCCCTGCTGTCCCTCTTGCTCCATTACAGCTCTTGCTATAAAAACGGCTTTTCCAGTCATCCCTGCAGGCCCATGGAGCTCATCTGACGCTGCTGCACAAAGCAAGAAGTAAGTTTGTCTGCCGAGGGGGGGTTGGGGGGGGGGGGGGCAGCGGCAGCAGCAGGCTGCGTGCCTGGAGCACCGCGTTTGCAGCCCACGGGTGTGCATGGGGGAGGAGAGGCCAATGGCAGCATTTTGTTTTTTAAGGAGTATTTTAGCTAAACATGTTTCTGTCTTAAGCTGCTGGGCTGATCCTGGGCTCTCAGAGCAGCAATAGAAAGAAGCCTCTTATTTCTGTGTAACCTCTGGTAATGTAAGGAGTAAAGCTGTGACGGTCCCGATTCAGCAAGGGGCAAATTCAGACCCTTACGTGGGAAACTGCTTGCATGTCCCGTCCTGCTGCCTGCTCTGATGGCATCAGGAGCCTGTGCTGGTGCAGGGTGAGCTCTAATACAGCTCTTTGGGGCCCGTTACTGTTGTGGCGTGGCCCAGCACAGGTCGGCAGCCCCTGCCCTGCCGCCTTTGGACAGGGGCAGCTCTGGCTCATGAGCTCTGGGCTGCTCTGGGTTCAGCCCTCGCTTGCTGCCTTCCATGTTGCGGGACGAGTAAATGTGACTTCTGAAAGTGCAGGCTCCATTCTCCTTGTCAAAATAAAAATGTTGGCTAAAGCTGGGTCACGGGTGGTTTGTACCCAGCTCCGAGGAGCTGTGGCTGGAGCCACTCTCCTCCCCAGGGCTGGCACTGGCAGCTGCACCTCCGCTCCCCAGCTCCAGGTCATCCCCACCCCTGCCGGAGCCCGCCGGCCATCACCGGGCATTCTGTGCTGGAGCTGAAGCACCGTCTGTCTTTGCTGGAGGATCCCAGGAGCAGAGTTTAGGTTTCTCTCTCTCCTGCCCGGCCCAGCAGGTGCTGGAGTCTGAAATGCCCCTGGGCACCGCGCTCCCAGGGATGGGCGAGGCTTGTCTCTGCGCCGCTGCCCGGACACGCAGGAATGTTTCATGGCAAAGTAACCTGACACAAAGGCAAATTCCTTGGAAACCAGTAGAAATTATTTATTTGGTGCAAGGTAGAAGTTTGAGGGGTTCACTCTGACCCTTTGCACTGTTCTGTTCTTGCATTTCTTTTATCTCCATCTGCAAGACACATTGTGCAAAAGTTTTTAGAGCCAGTGGGAGGTGATGGAGGCATGCTGGTCACAACTGGCAAACCTGAGAGCGCCCAGTTAATTAGCTGCATTTAGGCATCAAAGTAAAATTGGGCTGATTTTTCTTAATCACTGAGGGCTGTTGCTGTGGGGCGGGGAGGATGGGGACGATGGTGCTCCCTGAGGGCCTGGGTGGGAGAGGCTTTCTGTTTTCCTTCTCCCAGCTGACAAGGAGTTTGCCAGGTCCTATCCCTGCTGTCTCGAGGGGTCCAGGCTTTCTGGAACGGCAGATCCATGTGGGGCACCTGGGTTTCGCCCTGGGAACCTGAGCCCCCTCCAGCCTCTTGTCCCTGGGAGGATGGCAGCGGGGAGCAGAGGCTGGGCCAGCAGCAGGGACCCGCATGAAAGGCTTCTCTTTATTTGTCCTCTCCTTCAAAGAATTTTATACGTGTATATAAGAAAAACCCCAAAACCCAACCCTAACCTACAAAATGCTGCGGTAGAAGTGGAGGGGAAGCCCCCCGTCCTGCCTGCCTGCCCCAGGAGGCAG